ACTTAGAAGGTTTTAACATTGTCTTGACCCTGGGTAATGTGACCATACTTTTATTTATTTATTTATCTAGCTATTTATTTATTTATTTATTTATTTATTTTTGTCCTTCAGCCTCATAAGTCAATGCGTCAATTATACTTTTAAAAGTTGATTGTCATCTCATGAATTCATAAGTCTAGTCACATTTTAGTATTTCCACAACTTTATGACATGCTGTAAATGTTATTTGAGCAATTTCTGATGTGATCTGCTGTATAATCAATGAGTTTCCTCTTCCTTTTTCTGGATATACCTTATTTTTGAATCATTAATATCGAACTCAAGGCCAACTGCACTTTGTTCAGCTCATACCTGAACAAAGCTTATGTAACACATATACTTTCTTTAAAAGGCACGTTACAGCCTTCTTGTGCTTAAAAAAACTAGACAGTCAGCCTGTCTAGTACCGTGCTTAAGAGCCATTTTTGGCCTGGCATGGTGGCTCACGCCTGTAATCCCAGCATTTTGGGAGGCTGAGATGGGTGGATCACAAAGTCAAGAGATCGAGAGCATTCTGTCCAATATGGTGAAATCCCGTCTCTACTAAAAACACAAAAATTAGCCAGGCGTGGTGGTGCACGCCTGTAATCCCAGCTACTCGGGGGGTGAGACAGGAGAATCGCTTGAACCTAGGGGGGCAGAGGTTGCAGTGAGCCATGATCGTGCAACTACACTCCAGCCTGAGTGACTGAGCAAGACTCCATCAAAAAAAAAAAAAAAAGCAAAAAATTGTTAGTAAATAAACTGTAAAAATGACACATATTTATGGTATGAGAACCAAATGAAGAAATTAGAATGAGTGTCATTTTCTTCAGCCTCAACTAGAAACAGCCATAATGGGTAACTAAAATTTCTTGTGCTTCTGTGTAATTCTGAGTGACCATGAAAGTCTAGTGAGTATCGACTGTGACATTACAAATACATTTCAGCAAGAGGACAAATTCATAAATATGTCATCTGTGAAAATAATAAGGATTGGCTATATTTAATTCCACTAGAATGCAAATATATGCATGGAATGATATCAAAAACTTCAAGATAGTGCTTAAGTCTAGCAAGGAAGGAGGTAAAAAGGATGTTTATGTGGGTCTTAGTTTTATCTGTAACATTTCATTTGTTAATAGAGAAAAATATTTCAAACAAATATTGCAAAATGCTGTCTCTATAATCTCTAATAAGTATAATTTTAAAATATTTGTTTTAAAATATTTGAAACACTTTTAACATTATATGTTAAATTTTAAGGACATTTACAAATTCTATTTGCAAAAACTTAAAAAATAATAAAAAATTTCATGGGAAGTGGAAACTTGGGCCATGCTGTCAGTTTTGGCACAGAAGGGAGATTTTGAAATATCTATTGGTTGAAGCACAAATCTGACAAGTGAAGTTACAGAGGCCTAGATATACACAGAGTACTAAAAGGGACTCTTCCAATACATTCAGAAAATGGTATAATCGTTGTAATTTTCAATACATATTTGACTGTGAGATATTAACATTCTTAATATTCAGTGACTTAAAAACTTAAATCTATTAAAATGCCCTAAGAAGGCCTATACAGCAATCTCCAATTATTGATAGCATGCTCTTCCCACATATCCCCAATAATTTTGACTAACTCTGAAATGGTGACCTCCTATTCCTTAAAAACATCAATTTCTTTCTTTCCTGCATATACTATCCAAATAGAATGCCTGCTATTTTCTTGGACAAGTAGTAACCCACTATTACTGATCAAATACTCTGAGGACCAGGGTGTTTTTAGTTACCATTTTTTTCCCACACAGATGATTGCAATACTTTATTATAAACTCCCTGAGGAAAAATTGTTTATTTTTTTTAATCATTATACCAAAGCTATCTGGACCTTGGCCACTGTGGCTAGAAATAATATTTATAGCCCAAGCTGCACAAGTTCAATAAAGACTATGATTATTGTCAGCACTCAGAAACTGCAGCTTCTAGCTATAGTGTAGTATCAAACATGGCAGGAACATTGCTTGAATGAAGCAGTAAGAAATTTCAAAAGGTGTAAAACAGATTCTCATCATCCTCCTTATTTCTTAAACATTATTTATAACCATATTGAGACCAATTTGTGTGAGTCTCTGTTAATAGGGAAACAAATTTTGTTTTTGTATCTATTTGTTTTTAAATAATGAATCAGCATAAGTAATTTGCATGCAGGTCATTATGCATTGATAGTTGTATAGAAATAAATTTGGCCTCACTCAAACAGACATCTGACTTTTTTTTTTTTTTTTTTTTTCTGGATCCAAGGAGGTAAAGTCTAAAACATTGGAATTTCCCCAGTGCTAAAAGTTTCCATATTATTTCTGATGAGTTGCTCACACCATACCTAATAGTTGATGTTAACAAAGTGACTCAGGGTGGGACTGGCCACACATCATAGTCTTAGAGTAGAGGCTGGCCATGCCAGAAAGACTAACCAAAGGAAAGAATTAGAGTGGGCCTTTTGGTCATGGTATATCATTCCACTTCTGGGAAGGGAGGGAGATGGAGACTGAGTTCAATCATGTGAACAATATAATCCATCAATCATACTTAAGTAATGAAGTTGCAATAAAAACTCTGAAGACTGAAGCGTGTATGAACTTCCCAGATTGGCAATGTGCTATGTTTATTGTCACATACTAATACTGAAGCATAACATGTCCTGAAGATAAAGAAGGCTTTCTGTTTGGAACCTTCCCAGACTCTGTGCTATGTGTTTCTTCCCTTGACTAATTTTAATGTATCGTTCCCTGTAATAAACAGGACGTAAATATAATAGGTTTCTGTGAGATCTGTGAGTCTTTAGTGAATTATTGAAACTGAGAGCAGACTTGGTTGTCTGCAGAACTGCCTCTTTACCTCAGTGTTTGGCAAACTTTGAAATAATGATGTGTTATTTTCTAGAAGTAGGTTTAAGCTGAACAGAAAGCTAACAGTTTAGTTTTCTGACAATTGGGAGAGAAGGGCTACAGATCAACTATTCCAAACCAAAATACATCTTGTTATATATTTTTAAATATTTAATAAGGTTATAAGTAGTATGTTTATTTATAACAAGATACCTTATTTATATTCCTTGGTGTATATTTCCCAAAAGTATATCTAGAATTGTTGTAAAATAATGTTGCCCAAAGTGATACACTCTCTACATGAATACATTATGCATATTTTGTTTAAGCTGAGACAACGTTGGATTATCCCTGACTTAAAAATCTTTCTAGGTAAAACAATTTCAGCAATGTTGAGTGGAAAGAACTTGAGTGTCAATTGCTCATCCCTTTATATATGGGAACAGAGTCAAAACAATCATCTAAAAATAATCAAAGCTTGTTTTATAACTATGTACTAAGCTCACCTCAGACTAAGAGAAGAAATGCTTCCATTATGGTACATATCCTAGTGAGGCAACCTGTCTTAACTTAAAAATGAAACAAAATAGTATGGCATAGCAGACATTGGAGATTCTGTGGGAGGATAAAAAGGGGGTGAGGGATGAGAAATTTCATAATGCATATAATGTATGTTATTCAGGTGCTGATTACATTAAAAGCCCACACACTAAAATCCCAGTATATCCATGTAATAAAACTATGCTTGTATGCCTTAAATGTATACAAAAATAAATAAATATCATTATAAGTCAACCTACTTTCAGTTTGATTGCTTATTCAAGTGTACATGTCTGTGTAACTAGTAGTATGGAATAATTATTTCCACGTATGTATTAGTGAGTATGATTTTGAGCTACCAACAATCAAATCAGATTTCACTTAATAAAAGTATGATTATTTTTTCTTTTTCATTATTCCTATTATATAAAATACATGTATCACAACTGTCTTTTTGGTATTCTAAAATACTTCCTAGATCAAGCCATCCTCACAAAGAACAGGGCTCTGTGACAGAGACTACTTATTCTCTGCTAACCATTCTACCCAGTCACCACAACAAAAAAGAAAAAGGAAAAAACAAAACAACCCTGGTTATCATCTGGACACATCACTCCCCAGGATAAATATTATATTTCTTATTCCTTAGCTCTAGATGTGGCTATGTGATAGTGTGATAGAGGCTTCTTTTTCTTTTTCTTTTTTTTTTTTTTTTTTTTTGAGACAGAGTCTCGCTCTGTCGCCCAGATTGGAGTGTAGCGGCGGGATCTCAGCTCACTGCAAGCTCCGCCTCCCGGGTTCACGCCATTCTCCTGCCTAAGCCTCCAGAGTAGCTGGGACTACAGGCGCCCGCCACCACGCCCGGCTAATTTTTTCTATTTTTGGTAGAGACGGGTTTCACCTTGGTCTTGATCTCCTGACCTCCTGAGCCACCCGCCTCGGCCTCCCAAAGTGCTGGGATTACAGGTGTGAGCCACCAGGCCCAGCCGATAGAGGCTGCTTAATGGCAGCCTTGAAAGAATAGAACAGGATTAAGATCATGAATAGACAGTTTTCCAAAGAAGATATACAAATGGCCAAAAAAAATATGAAAAAATCTTCAACATTACTAATGATCATGGAAATGCAAATTAAAACCACAATGTGATATCACCTAACTTCTGCAAGAATGGCTATAACCAAAGAATCAAAAAAAAAAAGCAGATGTTGGCAGGATGCAGCCATCAGAGAACACTTCTACACTGTTGGTGGGAATATAAACTAGTACAGCTGCTATGGAAAACAGTGTTGAGAGTCCTTAAATAACTAAAAATACAACTACAGTTAGATCCAGCAATCCCACTACTCGGTATCTCTTCCGTGCGGGAAATGCCTGAGGGGCGAGGAAAAAGCACACACCCAATACCTTTAAGGGTAAAAAACCTTTATCTCATGTAAAAGGCAATGCAGATATAATAAGCAAATGATATAATAAGCAGATGATATAATAAGCAGATTAATATAATAAGCAAATTGTAATAGGAAGGGGAGAAGGGAAAAGATATTCACACTCACCAAACTATGGAGGATTCACCACCAGACTGGGAAGCAACAGCCTGGGCTCCAGAGTCGGCCACCGGTCCCTGCACAGACAAGGAGAGGTCTCATGAAGCTTGGGCACAGTCTGGGACCCTGGCTCTTTTTGTAACAAGTTTTTTTGACATGAGGCCCAGTCACGAGGGCCCTTGGAGACTGAGTTCAAGGAACACAAAAAGGTCAACTTGTTTTTCAATAACTAACGTATAGGAATAGATTGAAATAGAGATTTCTCGGAAGCAGAGCTGGATGAATGCCTCGAGGGGCTCACACAACCTGTTCCAGTACTTGGTGACCATTGTTTGTGTCCATGTTCAACTGAGTTCAAATTTAATGTTTAACTTTTCCTCCACAGTATCTACCCAGAGAAAAATAAGTCATTATTCAAAAAAGATACTTGCACATGCATCTTTATAGTAGCACAATTCACAGTTACAAAATCATGGAGCCAACCCAAATGTCCCTCAGTCAATGAGTGAATAAAGAAATTGTGACATCTATCTATCTATCTGTCTGTCTGTCTATCTATCTATCTATCTATCTATCTATCTATCTATCTATCTATCTGTCTATCTATCTATGATGGACTACTACTCAGCCATAAAGAAGAATGAATGAACAGCATTTGCACTGACGTGGATGAGATTGGAGAATATTATTCTAAGTGAAGTAACTCAGGAATCGAAAATCAAACATCATATGTTCTCACTGATGTGTGGGAGCTAAGCTATGAGGATGCAAAGGCATAAGAATGATACAATGGACTTTGGGGACTTGAGGGGAAGAGTTGAGGGGCGAGGGATAAAATACAATAGATGCGGTGCAGTGTATACTGCTGAGGTGATGGGTACCCCAGGATCTCACAAATCACCACTAAAGAACTTACTCATGTAACCAAATACTACCACTACCCCAATAACTTATGGAAAAATAAAATAATAAAATAAAATAAAAGAAAAGAAAGAAAGGAGAGAACAGTTACCTTGCCATACAAGGATACAAGCCTGCAGTCAAAGACAGGAATAAGACGTTGCCATCTCACCCAAGCCTCTTTAATCATATGGTTTCCAAAGATATTCCAATAATTTAGAGAAGATGAGGGACTGGGACGTAGTGAGCATGGTGTGTAAGGAAAGAACCACAGTCTTCAGATTCAACCTACATCTAGGCAAGATCTCTAGCTTTTATTAGTTACATATAACCCCAAAACTAAGTTGTCAAAGAATGTCTTAAACAGAAAATCATTCTTGGCTTGTAAAAGCCAGTAGTTGCTTAGTCCCTAAAGTTACCAAGAATAACACTCCCAGTCCTCCCAGCCCCCACCCTACCACCATACCCACAACTATTCCATCAGCAGGATGCTGGCTAGGAATTTTGCAGTACCCATAAAGAGCATTAAGATTTACTTAAGATATGACCATGAAAAATCGATCAGGAAGAACTTCCCAGGGAGATATGGATTGCTAGGTAAGCTAGCCAAACACTTTGTACTTTATTACTCATATATGGTAAGATTTGATCATTGCTATAGACATACAAGAACTATATGTTTCTCATTATACTTTTTCCCAAATAAGAATATTGTCAGGCCTCTGAGCCCAAGCCAAGCCATTGCATCCCCTGTGACTTGCACATATACGCCCAGATGGCCTGAAGTAACTGAAGAATCACAAAAGAAGTGCAAATGCCCTGCCTCCCCTTAACCGATGACATTCCACCACAAAAGAAATGAAAATGGCCTGTCCTTGCCTTAAGCGATGGATGATATTATCTTGTGAAATTCCTTTTCCTGGCTTATCCTGGCTCAAAAAGCTCCCGCACTGAGCACCTTGCAACCCCCACTCCTGCTCACCAGAGAACAACCCCCCTTTGACTGTAATTTTCCTTTACCTACCCAAATCCTATAAAACTGCCCCACCCTTATCTCCCTTCGATAACTCTCTTTTCGGACTCAGTCCGCCCGCACCTCGGTGAAATAAACAGCCATGTTGCTCACACAAAGCCTGTTTGGTGGTCTCTTCACACAGACGCGCATGACAAATATCGTGATTATTTTGTGTGTTCATGCATTTGTGGGTGGGCAAACTGTGCCCCAAGGACAAATCTGACTTGTTGCATTGTGTGCGTGTGTGTGTGCGTGTGTGTGTGTGTGTGTGTGTGTGTGCATGTAAGTACAGCTTTATTGGAACATAGCCATGCCCATTCATTTTGTCTCTAGCTGCTTTCACCTTTCAGTGGCTAGTAAATAATTATAATAGAGACAGTATGGCCTGCAGAGCTTAAACTATTTACCATCTGGCCCTTTATAAAAAAAATTTGGTGACCTCTAGTCTATATTATCATTTTATATTGAGCATCTTAAGACCAAATTAGTTGTTTCTAGACTAATGATAGCTATATCATACTGAAAGGAAAAGATTGCACATTGACTAGAGTATTAGAGTGTTATGCCCAGACTGTTTGTTCCCCGAAGAAGACCACCAGAGTCCAGAGTCAAAGCCAAGCGGCAAGGATCTTAACTACAAGTTCGAACCTGGCCCCTCCATTCTACAGTATACAAGAGGGCCCCGAACAATGCGAGCGTTTGTTTTTTTAGCCCGAAAGTTGCAGCGGAACAAAGAAATTCTTTTGGCTCCCGCGCTTTCAGTAACCTTGAACGGCTGTCCCCTTATCGGAGACTTTCCAGGTGGTGTTTGTACTGGGCTCAGGGAGTTGGAGAGATATATGGTGGTATGTGGTGGGATGGGAGGATGGGACATGTTTGTACTAGGCTCAGGGAGTTTTGAGCCCGGGGCTGAGGAATGTGCCCAGCTCCTTTCAAGAGAAAAGTCCATTTTTTTCTCCTTCCTATAAAAATCAAAAAACTTATATACTTATCTATACTGCATGTTGTTGGACGCTTGAAAAAATACAGTTTTCTTTAATTATCCTTTTTAGTAATAACATCTATTTATATTAAGGATTCTTGTAATAAATAGTCCTATGAGCTTTGTATTGTATATTATAAAGATATTATTGAGTTTTTAAATTCATTATGTTACATCATACTGTACATTCATTTCTCCCAGGAGAAATGATCATGGTGCCTAATGATATGAAAAATCTCAGAAGTTTGTTTTTATCTCATGAATATAATAAATTTTGTAAATGATACTAACTTTGCCCTTTTTTCAAATTAAAATTTAAATGACAAATTTATATTTCACTTCTGATGAACTGATAAATTCTGAAATTGAAAACCACTCCAAAAGACCATGATACAGTCATTTTTAATATTGCTGAAACTGCTAAAATATATGTCATTAGGCTGAGATAGGCTAAACAACTTCCACAGCTAGAGAGGAATCATTCCCTACCCCCTAGCATCCAGCTATCAATCCAGTTTTCTTCTTGTATTTACATAGGCAATAACTCATAAAAATAAAAATAAAATTGTATTTTTACAGGTGAAAAGAAAGCACTTGATAATGCTTTGAATATAAAACAAAGGGGCCTAAAATGGTCCTTATTTAGAAAAATTAAAAAAGAAATTAAAAATAGAATAACAAATTCTCAAAACTGTCCAGATTTATGGCATTCAAAAACATATACAGTCATTCAATAAAACACATTTGTGGAGTTTTATCACCACTGCAAAAGTTGCTCAATAGTAGTGATAGAATTTTAGTAAAACTTGAAAAGGCTGGTAACTTGTCCTTTGAAGTTGTGTAGTCCCAGGAAACGTGGAATTATTTTAAAAAGTTCTTTGCATTTGTGAAAGCACAAGAGAGAAAAGAGCATTAGTGTTTCTTCTTGACTGGGAAAAAGTACTTAGAAAAGAGGGGGTATGACCAGAACAAGAGAGTGCAACAGTAATGAAACTCACTTAGTTTTAAAGCAAGATGCCTCTGAAAGGGGAGTATCATGGTTAAATGCAGCCAAGCACATACCGATTCTTCCACTGTGGCTACGTGGGATGTTTGAGCTCTGCCTAATCTATAGTCTTGCTAATCAAAAGTCAAGAAAAACAAAACAAAACAAAACAGAGAAACCTTATTTTTCCTTTGAGCATCCCATTAAAATACTTGCATCATGGCATAACTTATTTTAACATGATTTCACAGTTATATGTGTACTAAAGTGGCAATTCACAAATGTAAGTTTTTGAAAAAACTGTAAGTTATTTTCCTTAGGAAAGTCAGCATTCTACTCAGGTTGCTTTTGCCAAAGTCACCTAAATTGAAAAGATACCTAGCTCACTGGCATAGCTTCTCCATATCCAGTCTTTAAATAGTTTCAACAATCTCACTGAAATCCAGCTGGCTCATAGCCCGATCATAATAAAAATCCAAAGTGTTGCTAATTGGCTAGAGAACGGAATTTGAAATTCTGACAGGAAATATTTCCTCACCCTCGACTGAGAAAAACAGTGCACAGATGGTCAAGGTGATGCACGTTCATGTGCCCTCAAAGATTTATTTCTTTCAAATTCTTATGTCAAAATTGTGCTTAACAAAAAATATAAATAAATAAATAAATAAATAAATAAATAAATAAATAAAAGGAAGCTCATCTCTAATCTCTGGTTTAAAGTGTTCATCGTTAACTCCTATTATAATTTAAGTTTTTAACGGATTCAGTCACCCTTGCCTGCCTGTAGTTTAGATTACTGCATGAACTTCCAATTCTACCACAAGTAGAAGTTTCTATGTCAATTATAATTCTTTCTGAGGACAAGAACACTGAGGTCACATCACATCAGTACTTTCTGCCCTGTACTGATACCGATCAAATTCTGAAAATAATTTAAGGTTTTGATCCTTAGCCTTAGGGCAGAAAACTCGATAGAATCTAGCAATTTCAGAAACCTTATCATGTTCTACACCACATTACTCATAGCAACTATTTTCAACAAGCAGTCTGTGGTATTGATCCTAAAACTGAAATAGACAAAATTCTAGGTCAGAATACTCCTTTAAAATCAATTAGTTTGAAAATTTCTATCAAGATATGAGAACATTCTCAGAGAACTTGGCAACAATTTAGCAGGTTTATTATTTCACTTGTTTATCAAAATATTCTTCAAGCCA